TTTGTGGAAGGTTTAATGCAGATAAGTTCAGTCAAATCTAGACATACTTTGGATCATTATTAAAATATGAATCAAATACGAAGCCCGCAGAAATTGCGTAACTACCTTGTACGATAATCAGAACAAAATTTGCTGCGCAAGTAATTCAATAGCCATATATCACAGTGTCGAAGTTTATCATATACCTGTGTATAAAACTCACAATGGGCCGATATGTAAGTAAACAAGATTACTGTAATGTGTTAGTTATATATTCTTCACTTCGTCGATACAATACATAACTAGTTTGGTTGCAATAAAGTATAATCACGTAACAGAATAGTTGTATACGAGTAGTTGACAAAAACTGAATCTTGCACTGACGCAAATGTCCTATAGCGGCTGCAAGAGATTTACACTTTTGTTGTATAACTGTTACCTGCATACAACCTATTAAATGACTGAAGTGTCCTATTAGGTGTGCCCATTCCGCTTGTATAGCTTTTATAAGAGGGTTTTGCCAATGTTCTTACAGTATACAATGCTGAGTAAGGAATACTGTATAATCATTCTTGCAACTCTAATAGGAGTGATAATTGTTAGTTGGTAAGCCCATTGGAACAGCATTTCTGTGTATCAAAGAATTCTACTTTATATATAAGCACTTTAAAACTAGATGTACATATGTTAATGTGAGTCTAGCTATTTGGTGCCAAATATATATAATCGGTTAGTCTCAAATTCTTTCCCATTGGAAATGTTATTGGTCGACCTCGCCCATTTTTGCGTAAATGAGCAATTTTGCCTATAGATCATCCACACCTGACATACGCACGTAAAACTTGACCCCCATTAGTTAGATCAAATAAGGGCAAGGCTCTGTGTCTTCGGCTTGTGTAAAGGTAATGCAAATATATTAGAAGGACAGGCAAACAGCGACATAGGTACACACTGCATCATTATCGCCCGTTTTACATGTTTACACATACAGACAAAGGGAACACTCATCTTGATACAGGGTGGGTATCGAAAACTTTGTCATGTGATCAAATAGAACAGTGATCTGAGTTCTTCATAAGGATAAGATAAACAAATACCAATCGATCACATGAAGAGTATCGTCAAGTAAGAACAGTACAATCTAAGGGTTTTGTCTTCATTTGGCTATTGATGCCGAAACACAATGTTTGTTCCAATAAGCAGTTCCAAAGTTCCGAGCTAGAACTAATTTCAGTATATCTGTACATGCGCGAGTTAAGTACAGTACAGAACTAGTTCAGAACTATTCCGTTAGAACCGAGAATTACCTGGATTGTTGTCTTAAACATAACCTTAATTGAAGCAAGATTTAAAAGTATCAAGTTTCGTGTGCTAGACCTGGAATTTGAAAGAATTTTCTGTTTTTGACGTGCTATAGATTTTAAAAAATGGTGAAATGAATGAGATAGCAGATGTGACGTGCCAAAGTCACGTAATCTTTTTTTACTATTTTGATCACTTTACCAATAATTTGAATTTCTCCATATTAGTAGTAGAGTGCCAATTCCTAGGCCAACCCCATCTTCAATGATTTTCTTTTGGCAAATTTCTTAGTTTATTGATTGTATAATCTCACACGTATTATATCTTTCTTTCAAAGGGATTCAATATTATAACTAATGTTATAGCATTATTAAAGACTATCTTCGAAACTACCTCATAAAATATCGTTGGACCCTTGTAGAGTTGATTCTGCCTACAGTCCCGTTGGCAGTCAGCGTGCCACTTCGCGATTTCTACACGTATTAGCGGTATATGAATATCTGATTTAGTATCATGATTCATTGTTTTAGGGGGTTGCGTGCGCAGACGGTCCAGCGACATTTTCTTTCTGGTTGTTCAATATTTGATTCCTTTCATTGGAAAGGCATTGCGAAGGACCACCGTTCACACTCCTCCAGCTATGTTTTGTAGCTGCCTTATAGCTGCTTTGCGCCAATTTTGTTGGAAGCCATCCCTTCCTCTTGAAAATAAAACCCTGATGTGAATATGTGACAGTGCCTACATGTCACAGTCTTTTAGGCTTACTAGATGACATTGATCATAATTTTGAATATTTCGTGCTGCCATAACTTATGTTAGAACAACGGCTAACTTTCTGAGGGTATATCACTTTAGTACACTTTTATCGCTTCTTACCCTTCCTCCAGTTTTCTTGTGAAATGGATTTTTCTCCAAGTTTTGAGTGTTTTAAATGTATAGATCTGTCTCAGACAGAGAATAGAGAGTAGATTCTTTCAAGCAGTTTTGACGTTGTGACGTCACTGCTCACTACTGGCCACTGTTTTTTTTGACCCGAACATTTGTGAACTGACTACATCTCAGCTGCACCTAGAGCTGTAACTGGAAGAAGACCATTACCCAGATAAGTTTAGGTTTAGGTGTTAAAACATTTGTGAAGCCTATATTTGTAAAGCCTTCGTACATGTACCATGGTAAACGTTTTGCAGGTTTAATTATCAGGGTCTAATAATTTTATTGTCAGGTAGTTTTGAATAATATCCTTTTTTTAACTTGCACTCTAGTGGTGGAGCATATGGCATGTGCTGCTTGTTTTGACAATATAGTTCGTCGAGTCATAGCGTACGGATGTGTCTGTGAGTGATCTGCAAAACAGCAAATCTTGTAAGTTTTGACACCACCTCATTATTTATTGTTGATCACATCAAAGCGAACGTATTTTGACCTATTTGATGATTCCCAGATATGACCAGTTGATCAACGCCGCCAGTTATTCTGTATTCTGTAATTCTTTCTCAGAATTAGAATGGTTGGAACAAGTTCAGAACCGCCTCGAAGTCAGTCTGAGTTTGTTGGATCAGACATTTGCCAGTTGCGGAGTTAATTCCATTTTTTGTTGGAACGGCAGCTTCGATCTGTACTTTCTCTGTACAGTTCAGGACTAGTTCGACGGTTTGTTCGGAAAAAGCTTTCAAAAATATGTAAACAGAAACATATCGGATGGTACAGGGTGGTCCATAAGTCCTTTGAAATTTCAAATTTGAATAAAATATAACGGTCGAGCGTGAGCGGCGCGTGCGAGGTGGGGGCAGTATCTTCAGTGTCTGGGAATTCAGTCGCCATGGAGTGTTTCACTGGAGCGGATCGTGCTTTTTGTGTGCGCGCGTTTTATCAAAATAATGATTCGGCAACCATTGCGCGGCGTAAATATCGAGAATATCACAATTTACACAATTTTACAAAGTGTCCAACAGCTCAAACGATTAAGAACTGGGTTGCTAAGTTCGAAGAGACTGGTTCGACGTTAGATAACAGCGGTGGGGTCGACCAAGGACAGCTCGTATTGAAGAAAACATCAACATTGTGGCACAGTCTGTTCGTCAAAATCCTACCCAGTCTACTCGTAAGCGTTCCAGTGCACTAAACGTACCCAGAACATCTTTACAGTGGATTTTAAGGAAAGATTTACGTCTGCATGCTTACAAAATTCAGTTAGTGCAGGAATTAAAAGATAATGACGCTATTCAGAGACTAAACTTTGCGAATGAAATGTTGAATCGATTTTCTTCGCTCAATAATGTGTTGTTCTCGGACGAGGCTCACTTCCATTTAAACGGGCATGTAAATAAACAAATTGCCGTTATTGGAGCCCCGAAAATCCAAGGCGTAAGCATCAGAAGCCCTTACACAGCCCTAAAGTTACAGTTTGGGCTGCTATGTCAGCGCATGGCATCGTAGGCCCTTATTTTTTTGAGGACGACAGAGGTCGCGTATCAACTGTTACTTCGGAGCGGCATGTAGCAATGATAGAAGAGTTTTTGACACCAGCGTTGCAGAATTTTCCAGGCTATAATACGCAGACCTGGTATCAACAGGACGGAGCAACTGCCCACACCTCCAACACCTCTATGCCCGTCGTCTGTCAACTTTTTCCCAGCAAAGTAATTTCTCGAAGAGGAGACATTTCCTGGCCACCACGAAGTCCAGATTTGACCCCAATGGACTTCTTTTTATGGAGCTACCTCAAGAGTAATGTGTACGACACCACTCCGCGATCAGTTGATGTCCTGAAAGAAAATATCCGAAGAAAAATGGCAAGCATTACAGTGTTGACTTGCCGCGCAGTCATCGACAATTTTAGACGTCGTTTATATGAGTGCCGTGATCGTAATGGATTGCATTTAGACGATGTGATTTTTAAAACATAATTCCCATTCAATAAAGATGATAACAAAATACAAGAATTCTTCATAATGTAACTAGTTTGGTTTTATTCCTTTTTTTCCAGCTCAAAGGACTTATGGGCCACCCTATAATAGTATAACGAAAACACCGTTTTTACGGTCCAAAATCTAATTTATTACTCTAGACATTATATATATGTGTATAACCATGACGACTGGAGCATCGTATTCTGTGGTGAACAATAGCCCAGTCAACCAATCTAGAAGCCCAACAGCCAAGCGAACGCGATCGCTTCCTAAGCTTCCCCAGATTGCTGCAAACTGCGATACCTGATAGTGTAATTATGGTTGCCTAGGAGGATATCTTTTCGTTATGTAAGGTCCCAGCTACGGGACCGTTAGAACAGAATACATGTTGATAACCATTATTCTAAACGTGAGCAGGTCAGGAAAAACTAGATTTTTAAAACTTTTCAAAAATTTAGAAATTTCGACAAAATGAGATGAGACCTCATTTTTTCACACATCATTATACTGATACGGTCGTAGAAACCTATATGGTGAGGCACCGTGACTGATCTGACGAGCTTAAAGGCACCTTGTTAATCCACAGGGTTATTACGTGAAAAGCCTATATAATTAAGAAACAACAAAACCGTTTAAATGTCTACTTTTTGACTAAGTAGGCTAGTGTCCAAATAGTCCATTCTGCGCCTGCTATAAGAGAGCATGGAGTAAACGAGAGCTAGTTCCAAGTTGATGTCTTGATGGAAAACCTACATAATGCCACCAAAATCTAAATCACGTCAAAAAACCGACATAATGTTAGAAAAAACCGACATAATCATTCGCCCTGTATAAGGGATAATTGACAATACGTCATATTTTTGCTCGTGAAAGTTTTCAAGTTTTTCAATAGAAAATCCGATTTAAGAACATGGACTCTGGAGGTCAAAGTAATGATCCCCCAGCGTCTCCGATGATGAATGGAGCCAGCCAGAAGGAGAGGACAGAAATTACCAAGAAATCAAAGGAATTGATGACACCAGCTGTAGCAGACGAAAAGGACGGAACCATCCAGCGCCAGACCCTGATCATCGAAAGCCAGGCCCAGCAAATAAAGGTGCTGACTGAGACCATGAAATCAAAGGAATTGATGAAACCAGCTGCAGCAGACGAAAAGGACAGAACCATCCAGCGCCAGACCCTGATCATCGAAAGCCAGGCCCATCAAATAAAGGGGCTAACTGAGACAGTTAGGGATCAAAACAGTAAAATAGACTGCCTGACCACCCAGGTAACACAGTTAATCAATAATGCAAATTTTAATTCTAAATCTGAGAAGGCTGTCAATTTAAAAAGACCTCTTGAAAATTTAACTGACGTGACATCGACCGACGATGAAATTCAGAATGACGGATTCATCCAGGTCAGGTCTAGGAAAAGACGCATCGACAAAACGAACAAAACCGACAAGACGGATGACTTCCCACCTCTTCCAAAAGCAAAATCAAAATTCAAGTTGACAGTCCCCTCAAAACCTTCTGCTTCATTAAACGTATCAACTTCTTCTGTCACTTGTCCTATGACGGTCGATGCAGCGACCACATCTTCTCAATCTTTGGCCACTGCATCGACTGAGGGTGCATTATCTCAACAATCTCACGTTGCTGATGAGTTGACCATCACACCACCCCGCCAGGGGCGAATCACGCCCATTGTTTTGCGTGATGCGACCAAGTGGCGACATCTAAACTACACCTTTATAAGCTTAGGCATTAAGAACGCGCAGTTGCCGTTGATGCGGGAATCAGGATTTTGCCGAAAACTGAGGATGACTACCGAAGAATCGTTCGCCTGTTCAGGGAGTAGGACGTGCTCCATCATACGTTCTCTCTTTTTTCAGAACGAAATATTCACGCGGTAGTCAGAGGCATACCCGCAATGTTTTCGGAACAGGAGATCACAGGGGAATTAGAACAGAGGGGATATACTCCTCTCCACATTATCCGACTCAAATCCAGTGGCGGCGCACCCATGCCTTTGGTGGTCGTGATACTGACCAAGATTGAAAAGTCCCAGCAGCTGTTCAATGAACATGAGCTGCTGGGTCTAGCAATCAGAGTTGAAGTTCAAAAGAACTCTAGACTTATTGGGCAATGTCACCGCTGACAAAGGTATGGTCATGCGCAGTCTTACTGCACAGCATCTCCCAAATGTTTAAGATGTGCTTCCGACCACATGACACATTTACGCCCCCTCACAGGACAAGAGGAGCGAAAGTGCGCGAACTGTGGAGGGGCGCATCCCGCTAACAGTCCCCCTTGCAGATTCACCCCCAGGCGAAATCTGGAAGTCATAACGCAAAGACGCAGCAAGTCATACGCGGAAGCAGCCGTCTCAACATCTTCGGCAGCCCCCTCTGTTCAACCCACTTTGAACACGCAGAATGTGGACCTAGCAACTGCGCTTAGGTCCCTTCAACAAATAACAAGTCCCCTGATTAGCGCCACTCAGGCATTGCAGGCGATCTTTCCGCAGCCATTGAATGGCTAAGTACAATAGACAACCTGCATTTATCATCTGTCAGGTATCTTGGAGTCATCATTGACAAGGGGTTGACCTGGCAGAAACATACTGATATTTCGAAAACAAAATTCCAAATTACCTTTCGGCAGCTTTATCCTCTGTTGTGCAGAAATTCAAAATTAAGTTTGATCAACAAGATTCGGTTGTATAAGATGGTCAAAGACCCAAAATCACCTACGCATGCGCGGCTTGGTGTTTTTTGCCAAGACGCACATGCAGAGACTGCAAGTCCTGTAAAACAGAACCCTACGCACAATTACTAACGCCTCTTGGTACGTATCAAATGAGACTATTCACAGAGATCTTGATATCCTGTATTTAAGGGATTACGTAAAAGAACAGGCGCAGTGGCGTTATAATCAAGCGGAATGGCACAGCAACCCTCTGTTGCGTGAGTCAGTAGACCACACAGTCGAGCAAGTTCGCAAACATTCCAGGCCGCGCCTCGCACTAATCAAAATTAAATTGTAAATTCAGACCAGCCAAAATTATTTCAGTATACAAAACCGATAAAAATTATTTTTTGGAGTTACAAAATAATTCCTTCCTTTCTTTCCTTCTTTCCCTTTTCCCCTTAAACATGTTTGGTATCTGGGTAGCCAGACCTGACAGACTAACAGACCGACGAGACTTTTAACTAAGAGCACAGGTCCACCGGACCGCTCTAACGAATAATCACGAATAGTACCGACATAATGTCATTTTTTACCTTAGGTAACAGAACTGCAAAAGCCTCCTCGGGTAGATTGTTCGACAAATTCTATACACTTGGAGTAAGGCATGGCTGGTTACGTCCATTTCTGCATGTACGAAGCTTGACAGTTGGGATGGAAGGGGTCCGCCTGTCAGGTTCAATGCGCGGTGGCATTATGAAAGAGAGCTCCAAGGAGCAAAGCCCGTTGGCCCAGTGGTAAAAGAGAGCCAGATCACCGACGTGTGGAAGGGCACGAGAGCGTCTGTTGGAGAAGTGTCAGCCATCAGTTGCACAGCCCTCATCTGAACAAAGTCAAGTATGGACAGTAAAATCGAGACAGCAGCACCACAAATACGTGAGCAGTCTCTATAATACCACCAAGCTAGAATGAGAAGGACAAGTCCAATGGGTTCTATGATAGGTATAAATTGAGACAGTATTATGAAGGAGACCTCAGAAGAGCAAAGATATTTGATATACTGGCAGACTGATTATTAAGAGGTTAAATAAACTATTCTCTAGCAGTAGCATGACTTATGGGGAGTACATGAGTCCTATATCTAATGAAGAAGTCAACTTTGTGATTGGACATTTCGGATGATATGAAAAATCTAGGAATGTATTATTTTGTCGAAAATTAATGAATTGACCAATTTACTTCATAAACGCCAAACTCTGTCAGAAAACACTTCCTATTGGTTATTAGACTGCCTTGTTTTTGATTCTTGGCATTCTAGTATAGTTGGAATGCGTCTTGTTAGAACAGTGTCTAGTACCCAGATAGCACAGGTTTTTAAAACAACTTTAGTACGATGTTTTACGAACATCCCGACACTACATTAAAGACACATTCCCTACTTCTTATAGAAAAGTTCCGATTTTTATATTTTCAAAAAGTTGAAGCTATTAGTGAACATACGATAAATCCTGTTGCTAAATACCCCATTAAACATCAAAGGTAACATATTTACTTGTTTACCCAACAAGGATTGATAACATATCCAACATCAAGATTTATTGCGAAAATTCTAATCTAACTTATTAATTGATCACCAGATACCGAGGCATTGTTTAAAGGGAGCACATCCCTATATTTACTTCTGCAACATCTGTAGATCTGTCATGTGTCAATCTTCAATGCTATTTTTGGGTTGCTGTTTGGAGGCCTGATTTCCACTTGTTTTCATTGGGAAAAGGAACTGTGAATTATTTCGATCGCCCTCTCTCTGCATTAATTAATATTAGATATTAGAAAAAAGTTCTCTATGTATCTAAAGGTAAGTGCAGGTCGTGAATTTAAACTAATTTCAACAAAATGCTGCGAGCCAGGTGGTCTGTGGCAAGTAAAATAGTAAGTGGCTTGATGCAACAACGACTGAGGTTTATACTTATTCCTTTATTATTTAAGATGGTGTGCCTTGAATGAGGCATCATACTAAGTAGTATGAAAGCAACGTACCAAGCAAATTTTGGATTAAAAAGTTAAAAGTTTTATTTAAAGCCACCGAGGTGAAGTTAGCAGTTGGAGATTGACTAAGGCGAGCTTCGTATCGTCTCGCAGTCACTCCAAAAACATTACGGTTTAAGAAATTAACTTGTCTTTAGAACATCCCTTCCAGTAAATATACTTTCTAATGATCCGACTCTTTCTTATTATGTCTTGTTAATGTCGCACTAAAGACCTTACGAACGTATTATAAAACGCTCAGTTTTCCTAACACGAGACACAACGTCTGTACGATGGCATACAGCGTTTACAAGACGTCCTTACGACGTCTGTAGTACCTCAAAAAGACGCTTTCAAAACGCCTTCAAGATATATGTGGGCTATTTAAGAAGCACGGAGCTACACCAATAATTGGTCTACGATACTGTTAGGGTAAGAACCAGAATCATAGGAAACTTAAAATCCCAAAAACACACCCGTTAAAAGCAACCCCATTATTTTATTGCCCCATGCATTCATATTTGTCATTCGCAGTGACTAACACCGTGAGTAAACTGACATACGCTTTAGTATGATCAACCGATGACTCATTCGTTACGTATCAACCAAACCAAACCATCGCGTATATGTCTGCACCTGAGTCAACTCAGGGAGGGTGCATAATTATATTAACACGAAAGGTAGTGGATTTTAACTTGATGTCTATCGGAAGTGATTTTGTAGGGATGAATATTTGGGTGAAGGGTTGGTAGTGACTTTGACGAAGTTTCAATCTACATAAGTATAGTAGGCTGACAAATATTTGCCCGGCAGCATTTATCGGTTTGACATTCTAGGCATTAAACTGCACTCTTGATTCGGTTCTAAAGGCCGTCGTCGGTTGGAATTTCTTTAGACCCGAATCAAGGCAGCAGTTTATCAACTGGCCGCGAAAGCCTTAACCAATTTTAGGAATTGCGGGCGAACCTGTGCCGAGGTAGAAATGAAAATAACGTAGCCTGGAAGTCTGGTTTACCATGTAGAGTATTTAGGAACGTCCATAACAATGTTTGTCTTCTGTTAAGTAGAAAATGGCGTCAAGTGGTTAGACCCTGCGCTTAATACCGATATCATCAGTTTAGTGCGTAGTACGTATAACACAGCAATTATAAGTAGTCCATAGAATACACAGATTTATCTTTGCGGTTTGGTAACTCTGCCTGCAAGCCCAGCAGGGCGTTGCATACACGGATGCATGCATCAATGCTCAACTATGCCTCAGCGCTGTGCGGCATGCGTATAACAATAATAATAATAATAATAATAATAATAATAATAATAATAATAATAATAATAATAATATAATGTTTATTCGTAAAATACAATTATTCTCGAATAAAACAAATAAACATAAAGTACCCGCAGAAGGTAGTTGCCTGCGCGCGGGTATTTACCCATACGAAACATTGTCATTACAGTACATACTGATATATTTTAATTATTTATTATTAATTATTATTGAATAAATGATTATATCAAATAATTACACAAATTTATGATATTATATAAATCCGTATAAGTAAACTGAATTTAAAACCTTATAATTTCTATAGTTCTAGAAGTAGGTAAGTTTCTGTTGAGAAAATCTGAATATATATTAATTTATTATTTCATTCATCATATACGATTGTTCTTGTATCCACAGTTTTATATATTTTGTATGTATAGTGTATGTGTTGTCTACATTCATCAGGCAGAGGATTATAGGCTCGTGGGCCTTTATATTCGAATGACCTTTTCCCAATTTGCTTATTCATACTTCGGGTCTGGAGTGATAGTATTTTATCCTTTGTTTCATGGTTATGTTCTGGTTTAATAATATCTATAATTTAAGTTTTAAGACCAAATTTACGGGAAAATATATGATGTACGACATATGTCTAATAGGTACTTAGAGCTACACGGGTTAGAAACCTAAAGTTGCTACCACCAAACAACGGGTGATTCTTTAAGAGGATTTGATTTTTAAAAAAAACACAAAAAATTTGAAAAAACGATTAAATCTTTATTTGACTCGATAGAACGGTCGATATAATTTAATGTTAAAGATTATTTCATGTAAATGTTGGCCGCGGCTCCGCTTTAGATGGCCCATGCGCAAGGTCCAATTTTGGCACACTCTCTCCAACATATCGGCCGGTATCTCACAAATAAATGCTTCAATATTGGCTTCCAGTGCGTCAATCGTTGCTGGTTTATCCTTGTAGACATTAGCCTTAACATGGCCGCACAAGAAATAGTCCAACGGCGTTAAATCCACTTATACACAATCTATAATAGGACATGGGAAACTCGAAAGATGCGTCAAAAGGAACCAATCGAGATAGCACTTGCGGAGGGGTATCGACGCCTTTTGCAACATGTTCCATGCTACAATCCCCATGGCCATACAACAGTAAAGCTGCGTGATGGCTTAGTGGTAGGCGCTACGGGTCTACTAATCAGCGCCGTGATTTAAGGAGGTTCGAATCCCGTCCCAAAAGATTTTTTTCTCTCGGCTATGGCTGTTGTATCTGTAGATGGTAGACGGATCTCTGAGGTGGGGAAAGAACACGTTTATGTCGCATACACACGTGTTCCCTCGCTAGGGTACGTATGACGTCATCTCTTTTCCCTGTATTCCCTTATAACGGGTGATTTTTTAAGAGGTATAGGATTTGATTTTCAAAAAAAAACACAAAAAATTTGAAAATACGATTAAATCTTTATTTGAGTAGATAGAACGGTCGATATAATTTAATGTTTAAAG